GTTTTGGGATTGCGATACCTCCTATGCACAAGCTTGTTATCCTCAGCAAAATCAAAACCAAGGCAGATATACAGTTATGACTTCTAAACATTTCAGTTAAGCCATCCTATAGAATAATATAGTACCAGCATAAAAAATAGCATAGAAAATCGGGTAAAACTGATCAAGGGTGACAAAGATAGCCTTGGCCCAAAATATCATGGTTTTACATCAGTAATTTAATTTTTTGTCCTCACAGGGTGTATCTCAGGTACGAACAAAAGACACGCCATTCCGTAAAAATGCTGCCTTTAGTACACCAATAGATGAGTACAAAGATGCACCAAAACCAGGAGAGCAGTGGAAATTTTAACCATAAGTTTTTTAACCATCAAATCCAATTTATGCAACTAAATTATCAAATGTAAATATTTCAGACAGACTGTAAACATTTCTTATAGTTTTTCCTTGTACACCAAAGTTTGATTTAAAAATAGCAATAGATTTTTTTCAAAAATTTTTTGCAGTTGTTGTTGTGATGTAATGTACTTATAATAGGAGTTCCCTATCTATTTACAGCTTTTTCTTTATCTTTAATTTAAAAAAGTCTTTAAAATAAACTCTCAACTGCATATAAATAATTTATGTGAATATATATCCTCTGCTTTCTACTTCTGATCATAATTTTACCAAACAAATCAGGTTATCTTACACTAGGCATGGGAAATAAAGGGATAATTGAAATGCTAGGTGCTGTTCTCAAACAAACTGATGTTCTCCAGCTTTCATGGAGATCTTGCCCGGGATAATCATTAATGGCCTATACGTGGAGGCTTTGCGCAAAAGGGCTACCATTTTCAGGCTTCAGGTATGTAAAAGGGTAGGGATTTCACAAGTTGAGATGTATAAAGGGATAAGGCAATCTGCCATATAGTTATTTTAAAGGGTCTTTAATTAAAATATTTTGAACAGATGCATCTTATGACTGTATCATTTCAAATATTAGGCACTATATGAAAATAACAAGAAGACTTCCTTTTTTGGCGATATATTCATAATATGGCCCAGTTATAAAAGTATGTGAAAGGGATACCTCTTTTCAGCTGAATGTATACGAAAAAAGTCCCTTATCTGTCAAAATGGTATACAAAAGGGTATGGGGTTGAACTCTGAGCGGAGCCTCCCTGGCCACGCTTGGATGTAGTTTCGTTTTGGGATGACTTTATGAAACAGTTGATCATTGAAGGTCTTGAAGTATTATTTTACGAGGAAGCGATGTTAGTTGAAATTCAAAGTTAGGACTGAAAGAAACAATGTGTGGGTGACAAATTCTGTGTAAATTCCTGGGGGCAGTGTTGAGTTTCAAGTTTCTCAGATCTGTTCCGGCCGATATGGGTAGTGGGGTTAATAAGGAAACAGAGAGATCGGCAAAGAGAAATTAAAACAAGAGGGAAGAAAATTAAAAAAATAATAATAATAATTAACTATTTATCAACTACAGAGGCAGAAGTAAGTTTAAGCACAATAGATTTTAAAAAACTGGCTCAAAAATTTAACACTACGTTAAATAAGATATCTTAGGCCATCGTGACTCAAAACAGTTTTTTTTCCTTTTTCGCGAGATACAAACATAAAAATACCGAAATCAGTAAAAAAGATAAAATAGATACCAAGAAAAGATAAAGAAAACGATTAGGCAATACGAGAATGAAAAAAGACCAGAGAAAAGGAAAACGATTAAGAAATTACGAGAAGAAAAAAAAAAAAACCTCAGAAAAATCAAGAAAAGAAAAAAAAAAATTCTCCTCGCAGGATTTCTTGGGCAAGAATTACTAGGCCCCCAAGCCAGTTGGAGAGTAATTCCACATCCGCTGTATCCATTGCGCGCCGCGTTTACCGCTCGACCACCCTGAAATCCCTTGAGATTATCGGTATAAATAGTCGGTATGGATAGTTTTTGAACTTTGGAGCTCCGAGTGACAGTGCTTGCATACCACACAAGTTAAAATGGGCGAGATGGGTGGAAAAGAGGGATGATGCAAACATCGGCCATGTTTGTCTAATATGGTCCCCATCTTAAACCGAAGTCCGACATCTCAAGTCTGATAACGTTTCCCTTCACACCTTGCTAGCTTTTGTCTTTATATCAAGATAGTCTACTGTCGCATGGATCATCATCTCTCGATATTAGAATGCCATCTCTTTCACGGGCTGAAATGAGGATGTCGATGATGCCTAAGCAACGCCCTTGTTAATCCAATATGGTCACCATCTTGAAACGAAGTGCAACTTTTCTGGTCTAATAACTTTTTATGTAGTAGACTGGCAGTTTTCGTGTGAATATCAAGACATAAAACTGTCACCTAGAACTTCATCTCTCGATGTTATAATCACATCTCTTCAACCGGTGGAAAAGAGGATGATGCAAACATCGCCCGTTTTTGTCTAATATGGCCGCCATCTTAAACCAAAGTCCGACATCTCATGTCTGATAACGTTTTCCTTATCGCCTTGCTAGTTTTTGTCTTTATGTCAAGATAGTCTACTGTTGCATGGATCGTCATCTCTCGATATTAGAATGCCATCTCTGTCACGAGTTAAAAAGAGGACGTCGATGATGCCCAAACAACGGCCATGTTAATCAGTCTAATATGGTCACCATCTTGAAACGACGTGGAACTTTTCTGGTTTAATAACTTTTTATGTAGTAGCTTGACAGTTTTCCTGTGAATATCAAGATATAAAACTGTCACCTGGAACTTCATCTCTCGATGTTAGAATGCTATCTCTTTAATGGGTGGAAAAGAGGGTGACGTCAGACATCTATGTTACTCGCTAATATGGCCGCCATCACGAAACGAAGTGCAACTTTTCTGGTTTAATAACTTTTTATGTAGTAGCTTGGTAATTTTCGTGTGAATATCAAGATATAAAACTGTGACCTAGAACTTCATCCCTCGATGTTAGAATGCCATCTCTTCCACCCATGGAAAAGAGGATGATGCAAACGTTGCCCTTGTTTGTGTAATATGGCCGCCATCTTAAACCGAAGTCCAACATCTCATGTCTAATAACGTTTTCCTTTGCACTTTGCTAAATTTTGTCTTTATATCACGATAGTGTGCTGTTGCATGGAACTTTATCTCCCGATATTAGAATCCGATCTCCTTCACGAATAGAAACAAGGATGTTGGTAAAACCCAAACAAAGGCCATGTTAATCGAATATATATGGCCACCATCTTGAAACGAAGTGCAACTTTTCTGGTTTAATAACTTTTTGTGTAGTAGCTTGGTAGTTTTGTGTTAATGTAAAGATATAAAGCTGCCAGCTACAACTTGATCTCTCGATATTATAATACTATCTCTTTAACCGGTGGAAAAGAGGATGATGGAAACATCGGCCGTATTTGTCAGTCTAATATGGCCGCCATCTTAAACCGAAGTCCAACATGTCATGTCTGTTGTGACAACGGCCGTGTTATATTGTCACCATCTTGAAACGAAGTGCAACGTTTCTAGTATAGTAAGTTTTTATGTAGTAGCTCGGAATATCAAAAAAAGAACAAAAACAAAAAAAAACCTTTCACCTAGAACTTCATCTCTCAATGTTAATAACGTCTTTCTTAGTAGCTTGATAGTTTTTAAATGAACATGAAGAAAGACTCGATAGAAACTGATTTTAAAATTAAATTCGACACTGGGCTAAAATGCCGCAAACTATTTTTTTTCCTTTTTCACGAGAAAGAAAGTAAAACAAATACCGAAAACAGAGAAAAAATATCAGAAAAATCAGGAGAAGCACTGAAAATAAAAACAAAAAAAGCTCGCAGGATTTCTTGGGAGGAATTACTCGGTCCCAAGCCAGTTTGAGAGTAATTCCTTGTTCGCAGACCCAAATCTCCACGTATCCGGGGAGAGGTTATTTGGCCCCCAAGCCAGTTTGAGAATAACCTCTGTGCAGCAGTGTGATTCGAACCCACGACCTCTAGCGACCTCCGCTGTATCCGTTACGCGCCACGTTTACCGCTAGGCCACCCTGAAAGTTTGGAGGTCCGACTGAGAGTGCGTGATAGTCAGACAAGTTAAAATGGGCGAGATTCAGGCGTGGATGTCAGCGTTCTGTTCGTTTAGGTGGTCGTGAAAATCGTCAATTTCGTCTTTGTGAACGGCGGTAAAGGTGTTGTCAACGTAACGTAACCAAAGAGGTATCGTTTGTCGGCAAGTTGCAAGGGCACGTTACTCCACGTGTTACATCACGATTGTTGTCGCAGAAATTGTGATGCAATGCGACGACATCGCTTGCAATTGCTACCACAATACACAGAGTTGATAATCCTCTTACTCCCTTTACTAACAAGGGAACATTTCCAGCCTTAACCTGGATTCGACATTCCCTGTAGCTCTGAAGTCGCAATTTTTTTCCGAACAAGCTTGAAAAGTTTTTCAGGTCAAAACTGTTCTGATGAACGGTAACGTCCATCACATGTGGGATGCGTTATTTGCAAAACTTAAGCTCAACTCACGGCAGCGGAAAAACGACCGATTTCAGTTTCCTTGACAGTCTAGCAACTTGCCAAGCTTTATGCCGATCTACCGAAGATACTAGCGATTCGCCTGTTGTTTGCTCAGTCTGTAATATGAAAACTGACTGTTAAATTGAATTGTGACACACCGGACAGCTTACGTGACGAAAACAGATACCTTGAACGTGTTTTTCAGAAAACAACTACAACGCTGACTTTATTAGGCGAAACATTTACCGACCTACTGAAGCTGACGCAACGAACAGGAACCCAACACCTGTTACTACAGTGACTATACCTTACATTAAGGGCACTTCTGAGAC